GTAGATAATAACCTGCTTGGGGAAGGCAGATTTTTCAATGGGCTGTTGATATTAAAATCTGGAAGGAAAGGTTATATCTGAGTCCCTCCCTCAAGGGAGTGTCCTTTATCAGGGACCACAGAGAAAGACCTTCTTAGTCACCATCCCTTTTATGGGAGTTAAGCCTTTCCTCTCCTGAGTTTCTTCAAGACAGCTAGGACTTTTCCAGCGTGCCTTCTGCGTCTTTGAATCCTCCTGCAGGATAGAGTTTTTCATGGAAGAAGTCCTTAGAAGTGCCTGAGATCTTTTGACGGATGTTTCAATTTCAATTACAATTCAGACTAGAGTTGGAAGGGAACTTGGAGGTCATCTAGTCCAACCCCCTGCTCAAGAAGGAAACCCTCTACCATTTCAGACAAGTGACTATCCAGTCTCTTCTTAAAAACCTCCAGTGTTGGAGCGCCCACAACTTCTGAAGGCAAGCTGTTCCACTGGTTAATTGTTCTCACTGTCAGGAAATTTCTCCTTAGTTATAGGTTGCTTCTCTCCTTGATTAGTTTCCATCCATTGCTTCTTGTCCTGCCCTCTGATGCTTTGGAAAATAAGTTGACCCCCCCCCCTTCTTTGTGGCAGCCCCTCAAATACTGGAATACCGCTATTATGTCACCCCTAGTCCTTCTTTTCTCTAGACTGGCCATATCCAATTTCTGTAACCGTTGCTCATATGTTTTAATCTCCAGGCCTTTAATCGCTTTGTCCAAAGGCCAAATTTCCTATGTATATTGACTTAATTTCATGCCTGTATTAGGTACGTAAACTACTCATTGCTGAGCTGATGGCAGAGTAAACTTAGATTTCTCTGCACTTCCTGGAGAACCACTCCTACCCTCAGATGAACCATGAAGAAGGACTAGGTTAAAAATAAGACATGAAAATTTACCTATTGATAGAAGAGAATATTTGTAACTCAGGGTTGAACTCAGGGGGTGGACCTATTCTCAAAGCACCCGAGGGCAGGACAAGAAGTAATGGATGGAAGCTCTTTAAAGAGAGAAACAACCTAGAACTAAGGAGAAATTTTGTAGTAGTGAGAGCAATTAACCAGTGGAACGGCTTGCCTCCAGAAGTTGTGGGTGCTCATTCACTGGAGGCTTTCAAGGAGACACCGGACAGCCATTTGTCTGGGGTGGTATAGAGTCTCCTGCTCAAGCAGAGGTTGGACTAGA